CAAGTAACTGTGATCAACCAGGGAAAAGAAAATTATTTTAAATTTCATTCGTTTTAAACCAACATCTTTAGAAATTGTAAGCTGGTGGAGCTTTGCTAAAAATGATCCAATTTCGATGATTTTTTTTTTTGATTTTTTTTATGTTTTGTAATTTAGTAATAATAATAAGGGGTATATAATAATAATAATAAATAATAATGGGTCGATCAATACAAAAATGTACGCTTTTTAAAATATTAGCAAATAAGGTATCTTTTCCGTCATAATTTTTTTCCTGAAATTTCGGCGGGATGTCACTATTTTACCTACCTGGAGGAGTTGAAGATCTTCAAAATGAGGACTCAATCATTTAAGAGAATTTATTTAAGAGACACAAAATAATTAATTAAACTAATCAGAAATACTGGATTCTCGTGTATGAATATATAATAAATTCAACCTTCAAGATCCTACAGAATGGCTAAGAAAAGTTTGGCAGATCGAAGATAGCAGCCAATGATGATGAAAGTAACTTGGGCATATTTAGAGACTTATTATAATTCTTTTGTAGATATACAATTTTAGCTGCGTGATTTATTAAATGTATACACAGATTAATAATTTATTATAATAATTAATCAGTAATATGTTATAGTCCGTGGCACCCCTTTTTATTGAACTATTACCATCCACCTGAAACATCGTAAATAGTTTCATTCCATCGTAGCCAGCAACTATTTTATTTACGAAAATTCTTGGAATTGGGCGTTTTCAAACTGGAGAAGGACAAACTTTGTCAATTTAATCAGGTACTAACAACTCCTAAATACTCATTTGCTTTCTACTTGGATCGTATGATAATTTGATCACAAAATCGATAAAAAAGATGGCCTATAAAAATATTGGGCCGTTTGTCCTATATAACCTCGTTATTTTGTAAATTTGGGGGTGTAGGCAGTGTTGCCCAAAATCGGTCTTGGTCTTGCAGTTTGCACTTTGCAAGACCAATACTAAGACCACCTCACTGTTGCAAGACCAAGACCAAGACTGGTAAAAAACAATAGATTTTTAAAATAAAAATTAAGGCAAAATATTTAGTACTAATACTTGACAATTATAGATACTATATGTAAAGAATTGGTATAACCAATGTACTTTTGCATTTAACTCTTCTAAGTTTTCATTTGAAAAATACAGTAATAACTCTATAGTACTAGGCTGATAGGTAAATGCAAGACCGTTGCGAGACTCTTGCGCAAGATCAAGACCTAGACCAAGACTGAGTTTGTAAGACCAAGACTCGTCTCGGTCTCGCATTTAAGTAACACTACTAAATTTAAACTAACATAAAAAAAGGGGTATCTAAAAAAATCTTTTAATTTTAAAACAATATTTATTTTTCAACTACAATATTTATTAAAGCAACAATTTATTTTCGAATGGATTATGGTAGGAAAAATAAATATGAAAGATACTTATGATGGTTTTCTTACTCATGAAGCAAAGACAAATGGTTCTTCAGATGTTATTCAATGAAATTCATTCTCTGATACTGCAGATCATATCAGCTAAAAATCATTTATAGATTTCTTCATATTTGAGAAATTCCTAAGGTTTTCTCGTAAAATACGAGGGTTATATTGTGATGTAATGCAGGAATCAATCGAATGTTCCTCGCTTTCAGCATAAACATTCTTCTTAATCGTATTGTTCATTTCCCTGTAGGATTTATTCAAGGGATTCTGGTTGGGCGTGCGCCATTTTGTGGGCGTGTTCAAGGTATTGACCTGGGAAAAGGGACAGATGTCGGTTTGCTTCCTGAAAATCGTCCCTTTGTAAATAACTACTATTAATCGATGCTAAGAAATATAACCTACTGTTAACAAATAAACAAATCTTAGGTAAAGTGCTTTATAAGCAACTCTTATTGGTTGTTGGAGAGGGAATAAAAATAAAAACGTAATATCACAACAAAATTTATTTACAAATCACAATAAAGAAACAAATTAAACATTAAGAAAGTCTTTGGTTGCTAAAAATTATTTAAGGTACATACGCTAAGGAAGTTGATCACATCGCTGCCAATAGAAAATGCAACTACAGTTTTCAATATGTAAATCAAGAGTGTAATCTTATAGATATAATTACTATCACCCTATTCATGAAAGATTTCAAAGACCTAAAGATTAATACAGTGTCTCCGTTTAGATGGATTGCAATTGATAAATTAATTGATAGTTGCTTTTATTCAAGGAATATATTTTAGTTGTGAAGATGATAAATTTCGTGAAATATTCAGGAGACATAAGGCTATTAAATTGAAATCTTCCATATATACACCAAACATTAATGCACTCGTATATAAACGTTGCATTCTTGCTTGAACCTGATATATGGTACTTCTGAACAGAATTAGAATTATCTCCCAAATTTGTCAACGTTTCTCCGGTTCAGGCTTCTTCTGATACTTGTTTACTTGGAGTAAATCTAGTTATAAGTTACCTGAAACTATTATATTCATCATCCATAAAATCTGTGCTATCTATTCTTAAAGATACTAACTATCATAGGGAATTGCTCTTATTATAACGTATAAAAACAATTAATACTTCTTATCAATGCTTTGATGATGAGAATAATTATTAACGTAATAAAAGTTTTTTTTTTTAAATAAACAGTACTATAAAACATCAACAAGTTTTTTAAATTAAAAATTATACAATATATATATATATATATACTTGGAATAGCTTTGCAATGATAAATGTAATTATCTTATTTAATATTGAAGTTAAGTCGGATGATTTCTAAGTACTTCTAGCCTAAATTAATTTTTATAGTCTTCAAGGATTGCAAACACAAAGTTTTTTTAACATTGTAATATGAATTGTTTGAAGAGGAAACAACATAGGTGAAACGTTGAACAATAGTAATACATTTTTTGATACTCTCGTAAAATTATAATTTGAAATCTATACATGATCAAATTAGTATTTAAAATATTTGTGGTAATCATTTATCTCTTAAATTGTACATTCAGTAATTGTGTCCTCATTAAAATATTTCAAATATAATATAATATTTCGATATTTGAGAAAAAGAAACCAGTTGTAGTATTTTTAAAAAAGGCTTTGAAATAACCTCATCCAATATTTACAATTTATTTTCTTTGTTTAAAAAATTTATTAAAAGCGAAATTTCAGTTATTGCACAAAATAATAAAATTATTTTTTAATTGTATTATATAATAAAGTCGAAAATCTCAATTTCGCAAATCACATATGAATATATTCGTATTAAGATTAGTGATAATTGTTTCTACGCCATAATTCTTTTTAAAATTTTAAATAAGCTACATTATTGGTAATAAAAATAGCTTCATAATTACAAATATTTTAATAGTCACACAAATATAACGAAAGCTATCAATGCCATTTTAAAGCTTAGATTTAAACCTTTATTCGAAACTATAATTTACCCGGCTGACTAGAAATAACGACTAGACCATTAAAAAAAATTATTTTTTTAATTCAATATTGTTTTCATTCAATCAATCTAACATCCATTTTCATTAAAAACTTTTAATGCCTCATTTGATGATATATTTATTAAAATTATAGCTATAGCAAAATTTTCAATGCAATAGTTTTACTCGATGCAATAGGTTTGGAGAGGAAATTTAATACAGTCATTATGAAAAACAATAAATTGAAAATGCAATTCTTCAAGGAAACGTATTCATTATTTCAGTTATATGGTATGTTAAATATAATATATTAATAACTGTTGGTAATTAATTATCTATTTAATACACTGAAATACATTTAAGTTTCAAGTTAGCAGTAGATTGTGGATCTGGAATTCAACTTTGCATTTATATCCGAAATCAGCTAATAGCCATTTTATTTATTCCTTATTATAATAGAAATTAGTTCTACATTAAATAAATAAAACCTAAAATAACCTTCTGCATAAATATTTCCTATCAACGTAATCCCACTTTAGCAAATCTCTTAGACCACTCGGTAATCTTTTGGTTAGGGGAAGATCTCAGAGCTTTCGGTTTGTGGTACTGTTTTTGATAGTTTTCTATGGCAGTATATGGAATTCATATGATATCAAGGTTATAACAATATTAACAATTAAGTTGCTGAACAAAATTTTTTGCCTGGATAAATTATTTAAATATTTTTTAACCCAGATAATTGAATAGCTTTTCCTTAGATTTGTGGATAGTTATTTAGCTCAGATCACTCACTGAAACAATTATAGACCAATGAAAAAAAAAATCATTTGTATCGTCTTCAGCCCGACAGCTCCTCCGAAGATTCAGTGGCCGACGATACAATAATTGTAATCAAAGATTAAAATTTTACTAAGGACTCTCTAACTTTATGTTAATTACTGAAATTACAAGACAAGCTCAAACTATAAAGAATTTAACTGCAACATGACGAATTCAAACAAAATAATATTTACCCTCTGAAAAAATATCTGTCCTCAAGTTTATAGTGATTTCAACCAAATTTCTTTGCTTTTTAACTCTGGAATTAGTCCTTCACCCTATCCCCTGTCCCAAGATAAACTATAGCCGAAAAGCCGAGGAAGGGAAGGAAAAAAAAAAAGCAATAATAAAAAATAACATATGTGCTTAAAGCAATATGGTATCTTACGTATACATATCGTATCGCCAAAAAGATCCGCTTCAAACTTTTCGGTCAATATTATTACGACTCATAACAAAAGGTCTATGAAAAAAGTCCATGGGCTACATAGACCTATCGAATCTTCACCAACATAGTTCTCACGATTTTATACAAATTTAAACGGAGATACCAACAGTTAAATAAGAACATTATTTTTGTGTTGTTTTTTTATCGTTATGTGTTGAAAAAATCGAAACCAAGATCCATGTAGAATTAAATATTATAATTTTCAAATACTTGTGCATAAATTTAAAATTAACAAATATTACCGATATTAATGCATACAGCTTTAAAAATTAAAGCACTACGTTATAGACAGGAGAACATATGCTTTTATTAATTTATTAAAGTATCTTTAAAATGCTTATGATTGATGCGGTATATTTTCGGTCACTTTGTATTCATTCAAAAAAGTGACAGTCATGGCAGATAGGTTACGTAGCGTTGGAACCGCGTGGGTCTGCTGGAGTCCAAGTCCTTGCGTACATGACACCTCTCCTTGACCTCGTTGTCTTCTCATAGCTCCAGGACAAGGAATGTGCGGCGTAGGGGCAGTCTCCTGCAACAGAGGGCATATGTCAGAGCTATCCATATGAGAAAAGAAATATACATGGTCAAATAGGATACTGATGTGTGAGTTTAAATATATGTCATGAATTAAAAATAAAATAGAGTCAGCTAGTGCAGATAAATTTGCCCACACACAATATTGCATGTAAATGTCGGATATGGCAGTAACTCAGGAGTTCTTGTACCCGTGAGACAAGAATATAAAATAAAACTTATTTCATAACATCAAAAGACTTTTCAAAATTTCACTATATCAGTGGTGAGACCCTCCATGCAACAATATTTCGACCAAAAGGAAAGACCAAAAAGAGGAAAGGATATTTAGAAGAAAATATTTTTTGAAGGAATATAGGAGTCTCGGAAAGTCCGGAGTAGCTGGAGACTTTACCATATTCCTACAAACACCTAAGTCATAAGTGTCATTAAAAAACTACTCATGTAAAAGAGTGTGGCAATCTAAAAAAAAAAAATGAAGAGATTAGTCATACCCACATCAGCATCCCCAATGCAAAATTCTTAATGTATTTATAATGTTTACGCTCCTTACTTTGTCACAAATAAAATCATCCATAAAGACCTTAATGTTCCATATGTTTCCGATTTGGCCCAATTCAGATACCTATCCTTCCATAACAAACTGCAGAACCATCCGAACCCTCTCGTTTCAAACCTTGCTTCCTCCTCGTTCCCTGATAATCCTCCGAGCCGTCTGAAAAGATGTCCTCGGGACCTTCTAATATAGAACTTTAATTTGAGTTCTACCAATGGATAGTTTCTCTTCATGTTGTACAAATCATGTTACCAATGTCACATTTACTTGTTGTATTTTTCATGTAATACAGTTGTAAATTTCATTTAAAAAAAAAAATGTATAATGTTTTAATCGGAAAAAGAGCTTTTTTAGATTAGGATTTTATTTTTAGCCTATTTTTTCTACATGCTACCATTTAGTTAATAAGTAAATAGTAATACATAGGAAAATAAGTAAATTTTTAACACGGTGTCTTTAGAAAATAAATCAGATGCGTATTCTAACTTACAATAAGTAAATACAGTACATCACAGCATGTGATCTGCTGTATTCCTTATTTACTTGCTTATTCCTATTAAATATATAAGTAGTATATGCCTAAATACATTGGCTCCCTTCTGCACCGAAAGAAATAGGAATATGTATAGTAGAAATATATTCAATATATTTATTAAATACATATGCTGTCGTTTCTGGAGCCACTTGCTCTCCTTAAAAAAGTGGAGTTCCAAAAAATTCAGAAGAAGAAATTTTTTTATATTTTAGGAAAACATTTTAACCATCCATACCAGGAGTCGTCAAACTAAGTCCTACAAAATTATACAAATTGTTTACAAATGAATATTTAAAAAATCACTTAAACGCCGAGTTACTCTTTAGAGAACTACCCACTAGCGGATCCAGGATTTAATTTTGGGGGGGGGGGGGCTTCAGCCCGAAACCTTTTTTTTTCATAAAAATAACGATAATTACTTTAGAAAAACAGAAAGAAACTAACTACCTATATGAAATGGTGTTTAAGTTATTCCTTAAGTACTTTTAAATGTAATTACACGAACAATAATACTTTAAGAGGTATTTTTTAATTTTCTTTTCCCATAAAACATGGTTATATTTTTCCATTTTGGGGTGGGGGGCTTCAGCCCGAAAGACCTCCCTCCCCCCGAACTACCTAAGATATTTTACGATACTGAGTACTTATGCCTTGAAAATTGTAATTATCATTCATAGTCATAATATTTTTTAAAGAGGAACATAGTTGTTATCCACCAATGACACCTCGAGATACCTTTTTTAAGATATAAAATAAAAATGTTTAAGGTTTCTTTCTTTCTTTCTTTGCTTATAATAGTTTTTCTTTTATTTGGTTTCTTATTTTACACAAAAAATAAATCTACTTGTGTGTAATAACTAAGAAATCCAAGAAGAGTAATAGCAGAAAACAATAATATAAATTAAAAAATAAGTTGATATTATGCAATCATTTTCTTTCCGTTTCTAGACCGCCTTGATAAGAATTCTCGAACGAGAGTATACAATTTTTCCACCTAGTACCATCAAAAAAAAGGTTCAATGAAATTCATAATCCTCCGTCCTTAACCTACCCTTGTTGCTTATCTATTTTGTGATGGAAATGAAAAATCGATTTGTTTAATTTTGAAATTATAATTCGACATTATAAAAATAATTTATTAGACACACAAATTAGGTATTTTTACATTTAATAATATTGAAATATATAATAATAAAATGAGACGTGCCTCCTGTGAGGATTGAACTCACGACCCCTGGTTTACAAGACCAGTGCTCTGCCGCTGAGCTAAAGAGGCGAGGTGATGCACAAGTGAGCTCAAAACAGCACTGAAACGAACGCCGGAACCTGAGTAACTTTTTTTATTCAGTATACAAAAAATTATTGAAACCGGTGACTCACTGACTGACCTCCCCATTTAAGTCAATTAGCAGCTAACGAGTAATGCATGCTGAAAGAGTTCACGTGGTAATAAAAAATTAAAGGATGTTCTTCTTTGTGGAACATTCAAAGAAACGATGGAGTCAGTCAACATCGATCATCGATCATGCACAGATACGGCATTACTCCCTGTCTATTTTCCTGATGTCGCTCCATCAGATCAAGGTATTTTACAATCAACGACATCTCATATTTCTATCATCTTGGAGAACAATGCGGATTTGAAATTAGGTTACAAGAACTTGCCACGAAACTGGATTCGTACTGAACTAGAATGATAAATGAAAGTCATAAAGCAGATTATATTTCTTACTTTCAGTTCTACCTGGGATAACTATTTAAATTTATCTTTCCTTGTTTTTTCTTCCATTCTTTCGAGTATTCGTTCATTATTTTGCCTTGCTCTATCTTCTTTCCGCACATTGGATCGCGTTGTCAATTCAATCCTGCTGGACATCGTAGGAACCTCATTTTAAAAATCTCTCTCCTCATAGTTATATCTTCTCTTATTTTGTATTCTCATTTTTAAAGATTTTTCTTGACCTCATGAATCCAAATTTTTGTTGACTTTTTCTTCCAAAAGTACCTGCTTGAGTATTTGTCTTGTTAATTTGTTATTCAACCAAAAGCATATAATTAAAAGAAAAATATAAATATAGGATCCTCAAATTAATGTATATACTAAATACATAAAGTGAACTATCTACAGTAAATTCTGCAGTCAGGCTATGATTAATCTGACTACCAATAGATGAATTTGGGCATAAATAAACTGCAAATTTTTAAGAAAAAAATGAATTTAAGGGCTGGAAAAAAATTAAGGACGAAGAAATTACATTTTGAACCTAAGTTTTATTTCTAAAAATGCATGCTATTTAAAACTCAATTTAAAGCACTACTGAAAAACCTCTATACTTACATAAAAAAGTATGTGAACAAATAAACAAGAGTTCGGCCCTCTCTACAGGTATATAATACTATATATATAAATATATATATATATATATTTTTTTTTTTGCATCATCATATTTTTTTTACAATGATTTATTGTAAAATCATTCATTAATAATTAATCATCTAATAATTAATTACTTTTAAAATTTATCTTTTTGTGTAAACAAGTAATTATTCGATTGATCACGAATTATTTATTTTGTTTTGTTATAATTTGAGCAGTATAAAATCTTTTACAGCGATAAAAAACAGGGACCTCCGAATGTGGGCCAGTTGTTGACCTTTGGTATTCGCGTCCACTCCCCAAATCTCTTTTCTTTTGAAAAGTTCTAGTTTATTCAGACAAGAAAATTTTGTTTATTTTATTTCCTTTGGATCGATCTTCAAGACATCAACAAATTCGCTGCCAGGCTTCATTAATATACTTTTTAGAAAATAGTTCTTTAAAAAAAAACTGATGAGATCGATCACAAAACTTTTAATTACTGCCCTTTTTTCAGTAAAAATTATTTTTTTAAAAGTTGGTAAACATTTAAAATATTACAATGTACATAATATAAATTATGAAAATCCCGTTGACCATAAAAGTTTGGTTTTTGATTGCGAAAAAAAATTAGTTTTCCATATATTTTTTGTGGAAATTTCACTTATTTTTTTTCGAAACGTTTTCCATTTAATAATATATATTTATATGTTATTTTTTTTTTTTTTTTATATTTGTTTATTTAGAAATATCACATTCTGTCACATCAAGGACATTTGTAATAGTGTTCAGAGAACACACTCACACTCTATTTACAATAAATAAAAAAAAAATAATAATAATACAGAAACTTAATAATAATAAATACAATAAAATAAAATAAAAATAAATACAATAAAATAAAATAAATGTATATAAACAAAAGAACTAACCTAATCATACACACTCGGGCTTGAGTGGAGGATTTGGCCATTGCCAAAACTCCAATAGATGCTTATTTACAGAAGGTCTCTGGGCCACTGCCGCTTCAACCTTCGAGGAGGATTGTAAGGATGGGTGGTGCTGGATAGAGATTAACTACAATAATTAATTATAGACCTTATATGTGAGATATTCATTTTTCTGAATTCCTTAGCTTTCATTGAATTCGTTTCAACCTGAGAATATAATTAAATATCTATATTACGGAAGAAATTTTGAAGATTCGGCATTTAAGTCCTTTCAGAGTTTCATCGAGGTTACGGAGTAGATGAAATCTAAGACTATTAAAATTTTCATCGATATGACGAATGTTATCAAAATCGTTTGAGAATTTTTTGAGGAAATTGTAAAAATACTTATTTATTTAAATAAGGCGCAATTCGCGCCATTCTTTATGAGTGACGATTTCTATCTGGTAGTCACTGATGAAAACGACCGATAGTACAAAGTTTTTGTTGCTAATGTAAATCCAAATTAGCATCGGCTCAGACTGCTAATACTGATCACACAATAAGATGTGTACACTAAAAAAATAAAAGCGAAGTTAGAAAAATAGCGGATAAACAA